CAGCCGTGGGGCCGGGGACGTGGGCCAGCCCCAGACGCCTTGGCTGCCGGGCTGGCAGGAGGCCGGCAGGTGGCGGTAAAGGCGGCCCCCGTGCCCCGAGGACGTGTCCGGCGCCCCAGGTCCCACGTGCAGGGCAGTGGGAAGGGGGGCAGAGCAGCCAGCGCGGTGCCCCAGGGCGCCCCACGCAGCCACCCACTCCCGCCTTCCCCGGACCCCCACCGAGGCTGGCTCGCGACCGGGCAGGTTGCCCCCGGGGTGGCGCTCGCCCTCCTGGCACCTTCACTCCGCGGGCCTCACAGCGGGGACCAGGGGGCCCGGCTGCGTGCCCTCAGCGGGCCCGGCCGGCAGTGCCACCGTCGAGGCCACCCTTGCGGCCCGCCCACCTGGCCGCCCCTGCCCTTGCCGGGCCCCGGTCCCTGACTCTGCAGAGAGGCGCCCCCCAGGAGACGGGCACCAGGACGCCCCGGGCCAGCGTCCCAGGGCGCACAGCGGGATGTACCCAGGCACTGGCCCGCGCGGGCACAGAGCAGCCCAGGCGGGAAGGAGGTGCCAGGCCGCCGCCCCAGCTCGCCTGCCTCTCCCAGGGACAGCGGTGTCAGCTCAGATCTCCCAGGCTCGGAATTCTGGTAAAGATCTACTCATTTATTCATGCACACAAGAGCTGGGGTGCAAGCCAGAAGTGGGAGGGTGAGAGGACGGACGCCCCAGACACAGATGGGGAGCAGGACCGGCACGGCCACTGAGACCCCTGCTGAGGGAAGGGGGCGCACAGGGGGCTCTGCTCTCCGGCCAGGGATTGAATTCATGTTGCGGTGGCTGTGGCCAGCTTCACAGCTGAAATGCACCCTGTGTTTGAGGGGGTCCCCTCACCCCAACTCTTGCCAAAGACACACACCTGACCCGCCAGACGGAGGCGACACGGTGCCCCGCTCGGCTTTGCGGGAGGTGAGTCTCCCCGCGGCGACACACCTACAGCAGCTGGGCGGCTGCTGACGGAAGCGTGGCGAGTGCTGGCTGGACAGGGAGGACCCCGACAGGGTGCCCGTGCCCCAGAAGGACTCGGGTGATTGGCCGGCGTCCCGCCACGAGGTCCCTGGCCGCTGGATCTGGAAACGGGCATTCCAGCAACACGCAACATACAGCAGCCCAGAGCCACGGGCCCTTGGGTGGACAAAGGTGTGTCCACCCAGGCGGGGCCTCCTCCCCAGCCACACGGGAACGGAGCCCGCAGCCGGAGCCCAGACACGGGGCCCGCGGCCACGTGCTGTGACCCGAGTGGGCCCTGCAGAGCCGACTCGGCCGCGGCCCGGGTGGCTGCGGCGGGGGTGAAGGCGGCGGAGGTGAAGGCGGATGGACAGGCGCATGGAGACCTTGCTTGTGCCTTTCACTTTCCTTGTTTTGACCCAGAACTGTTACAGTGTAACTCGGGACCTGCCCCCCCCCCCAGCTCACACACCTAAACTTAGTTCTCTGGGAGGTGGATGCTACATTGTGTTGCCTAAACGCTACTTATTCATGCCCCTAGAGCTGGGGTACAGGCCAGAGGACTCCCCATAGACAGCGGGGAGCAGAACAGGCGGATCCACTGAGCCCCACGGCTGAGGGGCAGCCGGGAGCCGTCCGCTGCGCTGGGTCCCTCCTTGGTGGGCCGGACTCAGACAGCAGTTTGGCTGTGGCCAGCCCAGGCCCACCCTGCGCCCCCAGGTAGGGGCCCTGCACCTGAATT